TACTGGAAATCTTGTCTAGTTACAGGATATGACCAGTTCAAGGCTACATATTTGCAATTGCTAGGAGTCTTAGCTGGGATCATCCTTGCACCAGGTTTCTGCCTGACCCCAAAATTCCCTCCCTTTTCTAACTGGCTCTTTCAATACTCCACCACAACCTTGGCTATAGTTTCCCCTCCAACCTCTCCTCCCAGTGCTCCCCACCTCCCTTCTTCTCCCCTATCAATTCCTCCTCATTAGTTTCTCTTCAGAAAAGGGCAGGCCACCAAACAGTATATCAACCAGTTGTGGAGTATCAAGTTGCAGAACACCAGGCACTTTCTCTCCTATTAAGTCTGGATGAGGCAACCCAGTAATTGAAAAGGTCACAAAAGCAGGCAACAGAGTCAGAGACAACCCCCACTCCCACTGTTAGGAGTCCCACAAGAACACCAAGCTAAACAACTGTAACATACATGCAAGGGACCTAGCTCAGTCCCATGCAGGCTTCCTGGTTGTTGGTTCAGTCTTTGTACTCACCAATTCTTAATATTTTGCTATTTGTGTATTCTTCTCTCTAAACACAGAAAAACATCTGTACAGTCTCTCCACCTCACCCTCCTCTTCATCCATGTCTTTTGCTTTGTGGCCTTCCTCTTCCCACATGTGAAAATACATGTATGTACACAGACATGCTCACACAATTTTAATTGAACCATTCAAAGTTGTGTTGCAGAAGTAACACACCCTTAAACAATCCAGATGTGTTCTTAAAATAAGATGTCCACTCACTTTACTACATTACCATCACCACACCTCGGAAAGTTAATGCCCAATCAGTAATTTATTCAATAGTCTGCGCATAGTCAACACCATAGCCTTATTTACTCTTCCTTCTAGAATCTAGAGTCCAGTTAAGGCTCATACATTTGGTCAGCATATATCTTTAATTATCAGGGTGCTTTTTTTGGTTTTTTTGTTTTTTGTTTTTTGTTTTGTTTTGTTTTTGTAACAATGATTTTTTTTCAAGTCCCTAGAAAGCTCCCCAAAAGATTACTAAGTGGAATCATTAGCTATGTGTAACAACATATAATAGTCATTATAGTAAATCCGAGTCTCCCACTTCTCCCATGGGATTGAGACACCATTAAATGGTTTAACTCTGAACCTGAGCTACTAAGATGAGGGTTTTGCTTGAAATTGTAAATGTAGAGACATCTCAGTGCATAGAGAAGGCAGATGAGAAAGTACGGGATGTGTCCTTTGTAATTAAGAACACGGTTGTTCTTGCCTGCTCCAGTGGCTGGCCTCTGTTAGCTCTTGGCCCGGTGGCTCTTCCTTCTGGCTTTGCCTCTGACTAGGGCTTGGCTCTTCTCCAGCATCATTAGGTTACAGCAAGGAGTTGGAAACAGACCTACAGTTATTTAAATCTTCCAGGCCAAATTGTCCCTGCTGGCTGCCATACAGAGCTTGTATGTTTGTGGGCTGTGTGCTGAATGGTGTGCTGTGTTCAGGATGCACGTGCGCATCTGGGACTGTGCATATGGAGAACACCTCCTTGTTTGTGCTCACGATCCGGGACGCCATAATCCTAGGGGACTGCATGGAGGGCAGAGGCCTGTCCTTTATTGTGGTCACTGGTGATTCCTAGAGAGCACTTGCTGACTTCCTCATTTTCCTGAGAGGCACTCACTTGGATTCCAAAAGACACTCAAATGCTCATTGAAGCTCACCTGGCATCTGTACTGATCACTACCTTCTTTGGAGTTGTTGTCTTCAGTAAAGTGTGTGTTTACCCCTTTGAAATATGGACCTGCAAAGCAGGGGCATGCCTTATTTTGAACATAGCAGCCTCAGAACCAGTGGGGTCTTTGAAGAGTGTCAGAGCCAAAAAGAATGGGACAGAGGCAGAGACAGAGAGGGGAGAGGGAAGGGAATGGGGAAGGAGGTATAGAGGGAAAGAGGGAGAAATGGAGAGAAGCAGGAGGGTGGGAATTTGGGGATAGATGAATAAGCATAAACAACTAGAAACTGGAGAGATGGGAACAAGAATTGCAACTTTGGGGGCTTAGCATTTTTACCTCTGGGGAATCCCCATCCTGTCTTCGTGATGAGTTAGCTTCCATGCAGGTTTAGCTGGCTGATTCAGTATGAGGAGTGACAGTTCTATGTCTCAGCTGTCCCTGCCTCCTGCAGCCTGCTTTCTGCATCTGTAAGACCCTCTGAGATCAGTCCTACCTCCATGGCCCCACTGTCCTTTGGTACTGAACTCAAGTTCCATGCTTGGATTCATCAGACATACTACACTGTTTTGCTACCTCCATCTTTTGCTGATCGTAACCTTGGATCATTGCGTAATTGTTCTAGACTGCAGATCACTCACTCATCCGTCAGTAGAGGATAAGGTGTGTGGGGATTAACAGTTAATATAATAAATGCAGCCCTTGGAAGGGTGTTGGTCACAGAATATGGGCCATAGAAAGGTCAACAACTTTCTACTATCACTCTTTAGAGCTTGAGCATATTAATTTTTTATTGCCACATTAAAAATTACCATAAACTAACATCTCAGAATGGTACCCATATATTACCTTACATTGTCTATAGATTAGATGTCTGGATGGGGTGAGCCAGGGCTGTTTTCTCAGAATATCATAGGGCTGAAATCAAGATGTCTGCAAAGCTGACCTGGAACATCTCCCAAGCCCATTCCAAGTTCACGGCACTTAACTGAATTCGATCCTTTGCAGCTGTGGTGTTCAGGTAACTCTTCCATCACCTTCTGTAAAAGCTCCCTAGTTAAATCAATGCCAATCAGATAATCTTTCTCTTGGTTAACTTAGAGGCAATTGTTCAGTGCCATGACGTTATCACAGTCATGGCTTTCACTTGTTCTCAAGGGGAGATACTTAGGGTGTGTGCAACTGGAGGCAGGATTCTTAGGGGCCTGAGGGTCCTGCCTACACACTGGGTATTTAAAAATACCATCTTTGCTGATCTGAACTACCTGGGATGAACTAGATAATCACCACCCTCAGTTCAGTTGTTTACTGCAGTTTATCAGCATTCAGGGGGTTTCTCATTAACGTGGTTCCTGGAACTGATGCTCCTTATCCTGTAGTTTTTGCAAATTGATGGAGTCAATCCACACCTTTGGAACTCTCTCAAGAAGAGGGCAATTAGAGATTCATAACAATAAATCTGTTGGTCAGTTGTTCTGGGGTCTTCAAAAGATGACCCACAATTTGCATTCACTTTCAGAACTCATTTATTACTAGGGCTTCCCATACATGGGCGGGTGGCCCAGATGGAACCCTCCTTAACTTAGAGTATAATTGTCAGCCAGTCCTGCTCCTCTGCTGTTCACAGTAAATCTGTGCCTGTATCACCATGAGGAGAAGAGTGTTTGCATTGTTTTCAGAAGTTTTCCTTGGTCACAGTTTCCTTCCCAACCAAGTCTAGATTTTGTAAAGTTAATTTTTAGCAAACAACGTAGTGGTTTCATCATGGCATCTGCATGTATAGCATTGTATCTTGCACTTTGGGCTACCTCTGCTCTTCTCCCACATCCCCTCTACCTGCTATTTCTTTCCTCCCCCAAATATTCAGGAGAGAGCAATGGAGTAAATGTGATAGGAAAGAAGGACTCGATTTCTTTTATCTTTTAATTCATCTTGTATCCATTAAAAAGTTATTTTAGTCAAAGCCCATAATGAATGCATGAAGGGTGTAAAAATTTGCAAAGGATATATTTAAATCAGTTAATTAGAAAAAGTTGAGGATGAGAGCACCTTAGGCAACAAAACCTTTTGTTATCTTCAAATTGCCTATATTTTACAATGTCTTATTTTGTGTGTGTGCCATATGTTTTTGTGTACATGTATATACATGCAATGCACATGTGGACACATGTGTTTGGAAACCAGAAGTCAATGTGATGCATCTTCCTCTATCACTATTCATTAATGACTTTTCTATAGTTGTTATAAAATGCCATAACCAACAAAACTTTAAAAGAAAGTGTTAAATTGGGCTTGTGATTTCCAAAGGTTAGAGTTCATGATAGCAATGCAAAAACAAGGCAGTAGGAAGAACTGAGAGCTCACACCTTGACCCATAATTGGTAGGCAGAGAAAGCACACTGGGAATGGTGGGAGTCTTTTGAAGCCCCACAGTCCACCTGCATTGACACACTTTCTCCAACAAGATCACACCTCCTACCCCTTCCCAAACAGTTTCACTACTGGGGACTAACCTTGCAAACATATGAGCCCATTCTCATTCAAACCAACACAGCTGTCCACCTTACTTTTTTGAGACAAGACCTCTTATTAAACCTGGAGCTTACCAGTAAGCCCCAGGAATCATCTACCTCCATCCAGCTTCCCATCCAGCTTCCTAGTGCTTGGACTTCAGGCATGTTCTATCATGCCTGGTTTTTTCCTTGGATACTGGGGATCTGAACTCAGGTCCTTATGCTTGCTCAGCAAACACCCAACAACAAAGCCATTCCCCCTGCTCTAATTATATTTTTAAAGTATCTATTGATACAAAGTTCTAAGCAATAAGGCATGGGGAAACAATTTATAAGCAATGGAAAATACCTGGCTGTCTAAAGTACTGTTCCTTAAAAAGATAAGGTTTTAGTTGGGGGGCAGGGGTTAGGGGAGGACGGGTGGGAGAAGGGAACTGGGATTGTCATGTAAAACAATCCTGTTTCTAATTCAAATTAAAAAAAGATGCTAAATTCCCTTTATAGCAGCATCTGACTTGCACTTGTTTACAATTGTATCAAGCTAAAGGGAAAATTGATTTGGTGTGGCTAGGGTTTTGGAAATCTGAAGTGTCTGTTTATTCTGGTGTGTCCTAAATGCAATTTTGTTGTGTGTTACACCATGATTTAGATATGACTTTAGCAACCACGATGGCTGGCATCTTGACAGCAATTTGGACTATTAATGAAGTGCTTCTGTCACAAAGATAATCTAAAGTAACATTTGGGCTTCTTTTCTTCCTTCCAGGACAACACCATCTTGTTCTTGAGAGGCTGTAAAGAGCTTGGCCTTAAAGAATCTCAACTCTTTGACCCAAGTGACCTCCAGGATACGTCCAGCAGGGTCACTGTCAAGTGAGTATGCCTGATTGATGTTTAACGGAAACCATTGATGTTTGGATTTGCAGATGTGTGAGGATGTTGTAAGTTCTAAGAGGTAGAGGATCACATATACCTAATTTTAAAAATGCACAAGCGACAACAAGCTTTTGCAACAGAACACTGTTGCAAAACAGTGTCCTGTCCTCTGTAGAGCTCTGATTCTGAGCTAATATAAATTTTTCAAATGCATATAGAACCAGAATTTCAAAGAAGAGAAAATGTTAAGTAGAGTTTAGCAGCAAGGCTACAGAGAAATATGCACAAAATCTGTGTGCTTTTTACAGCAACCCTTTTATTGGCTCCAGTGGGACAGTTGAATGGGCTCTTGGCAGACTGCACTCAAACAGATTGAGAGCTGTTGATGATGGGGGAAAAGGTGGTGATCTGGCTCCTTAGTTTATATCTGTAGCCATTTTCTCATCTGTGACAGTGATTAAGCTTTTTCAGAGATGGATCATTGACCTTTTGGCCATTTCTACCTGTATCTAGTGAACCATATATATGGGACCAAAGAATTCTTGCAGTATATATCTCTTCTGTATAAAGAGATAGTTCATGAGCAAAGGAATCTGTGTTTATGAGATGGCAAAAATAAATTGCCTGTAGTTCAAGGATTCTGCAGAGCCCATGATGTCATATAAAGCATTTGTCATTTTATTCAAACAGTATGATTGAGCAATAAGCTGGATTCTCTCCTGGGTCTGGAGAGATGGCACAGTGGTTTAGAGGGGGTAACACTATTCTTGCAGAGGACACAGTTCAGTTCTCAGCACCCATATTAGGTGCAACTTACAATGTCCTATAACTCCAGTTCCAGAGCATCTGGATCTCTGTTTTGGCCTCCATGGACACCTACATTTATGTGCCCATGCTCATACACTGATATACACATATACACATTATATAAACATAAATCTTTTTTTTAAATATCTAAAAGTAAGGTAGGTGCCATATCCTATAATCACAGCACTTAAGAAGCAGAGGCAGGAGAATCTCTACACAACTGAGTCCAGCCTGGTTTACATAATGCATATACTAAACAAACTAGGGCTTCATAAGGACAACCCTGTTGCAGACATCAGCAACAACAAAACCCAGTAAGCTGAATTGAGTAGAGGGGATCTGTGACTTGATAATTTGGGGGCAGTGCTGTTATATCATGGAAGAACACAGAAGGGAAAAAGCCACAATTTAGAGTTGTTCTTTTTGTTCTATCCCCTGGCCTTGATTTCATAATTATGATGATGGGAGACTTGAAACTACTGAATGAATTGAAGTTGGGAAGTTTACAGTGGATTTTATGATTCGTGGCTGGAAACGAGGAGAGTCAGCAGCTATGATTGATGATCTAAAGTTACTTCTGTGATTTTAATGTGCCATTCTTTAGTATTTCTCATGGAAAGTGGATGTTAAGCGAAAAAAGTAAACAAAAGTTGCAATATTTCACAGTAAAAGCCTCCATAGGCCCCACTGCAACCATCACATGCTCCATTTGTCACTGAGCCTAAATCCGGCCTCTGCTAAGTTCTTCTTCATTTTGGGAAATCACTTCAAGTTCTGCCTCATCTCATGTTTCTAGTTTCACCTGCATGGCAAGTCCCCAGAAACAATAGCAATTGTGTAACACCATGGGTAATAATAGTCACACACACATTGCTTGGAGGGTTAAGGCAAGTTTACTCCGGTGGTTTACTCTAGCTCCTTTTTTAATTATTTTTGGCTACCTTTAAATGATAAATTACCAGAGCAGGAGAATTCTGAGGCCAGTGGGTTTTGGAAACTAAAACAGAAACTCAGATCTTCTTCATTGCTTATCTACAACAATCAGGATTGGAGCTCCAGGTCTAGCGCTCCCTACATCTATGGCTTGTTAAGCATCTTTACTTAGCTCTGTGCTGTCATCTACAGAGTAGGACTGGATTAAATAGTCTTCCAGATGTGACTCTAGGTAAAGCTTGGTCACTGCAGGGCTGGGGAAACAAGGCAATCAACTTCTAAAGGGATATATTAACTCAGAGGCACTAAAAGCAACTGGCCTTGAGAAAGCCACTTAGGCCATTCACAAATGGTCACAGTTCCTTTGTTATGGCAGTATCTTCATTTGTTTGTTCTTTTGATTTTGCCTTTTTTCTGTCTTCTCCTTCTTCTGCCTCCCACCTCCGATTCCTTCTTTATCTTTTCCTCTCATCTACCTCTCTTTTGCATTTCTTCTTCACTCTTTGCATTTTATAATGTCCTTGACTTGTACACTCTAATCTTTAGATACTGCTTTTCCATCACCTTCCCTTATGTCTCTGTACCTTCATTCATCTATTAAACAAATGTTTACTGAGTAGCTACTGTGTGTGAGATACTTCCCCTCCCTGAGGAAAATGCACAAACAAGATGACTAAGGGCCTCCGTTCATGTTGAATTTACACTGCAGTGTCAATAACTTAGAAATGTATTAAGTAAGAAAGAAAATAACTGGGGTTGGGGATTTGGCTCAGTAGTAGAGCACTTCCCTAGCAAGTGCAAGACCCAGGGTTTGGTCTGCAGCTCCAGATGAAAAAAACAAAAGAGAGAGAGAGAGAGAGAGAGAGAGAGAGAGAGAGAGGGAGGAGAAAAGAAAGAAAGAAAATAACCATGGGAAGGGAGAGTGCTGAGCAGAACATAAAATAGTGAGGCAGGAAAGAGAGTGGTCCATCCTGAGACGGTCAAGTTTAGGCCATCTGAAGGGGTAGCATTTCAGCTGAGGACTCAGGCTGCAACAAAAATGAGAAGGAAGCATCAGCCATGGGCAGATTTGCTGGATGTTTGGAGTGGAGGAACAGCAAGCAAAAGGCCAAGGAAATAGATGTTGTGGATGCTTAAAAGAAAAGGACCCAGTGAGGTTGGAGGGTTGTAGTTCAGGGTAAGTGTGAGGAGAGCAGTCTTCATATACAATGGGGGTGTTGAACTTGGAATCGTTATGTAGAAAGATTGTCTCACTAGAGTGGTATTTAGAAAATCATAAAGAATTTATACTAAAATTATGTCACAAATTAATTTGTGGAGCTTAGAAAGGCATTGCTTCTGGGTTTAGCAGGGGTGTAGGAGGGGAGCATGGAATAAGCTTCACAATATTTTCATAGGTGATTCTGCTTTTTGGCACTAGTCGGGGACTAGTTTTTAAAGTGTTAATTTTATAGCTCAGATAGGTTCAAGTACCGCTGCTGTTATTCTCCAGTTTCCCTTCTGAGAGTTGAGCTGCAAACGGCAGAGAGAGAGAGCATCATTTTAACAAGAGTATCAGAAAGGAGATACAGGATAAGGGATAGATCCCATGGGGGAAATTTGTGTTTTCTAAAATTGTCTCTTTTTAAAAAAAAAACAAAACACTCTAGTTTTAAGTATAAGTAATTTTTCTTACCTTTTCTGTCCAAATGTAACTTGAGCAGACAAAAAAAGAAAAATTTTAAGAGGAGAAACCTTCAAATTATTACATTACTGACTGTGAAATTGCATGAACTCTACTTGAAATGAATGCCAGACAGATTTGATGGAAATGAAAGCACAGTGCACAGGGGCTGCACAGTGCACAGGGGCTCACAGTGAAGAGGGGCTCACAGTGAAGAGGGGCTCACAGTGAAGAGGGGCTCACAGTGAAGAGGGGCTCACAGTGAAGAGGGGCTCACAGTCCAGAGAGGTCCAGAGTGCACAGGGGGCTCACAGTGCACAGGGGGTGCACAGTGCACAGGGGCTGCACAGTGCACAGGGGCTGCACAATGCACAGGGGCTCACAGTGCACAGGGGCTGCACAGTGCACAGGGGCTCACAGTGCACAGGGGCTGCACAGTGCAGAGGGGGTGCACAGTGCAGAGGGAGTGCACAGTGCAGAGGGGGTGCACAGTGCAGAGGGGGTGCACAGTGCAGAGGGGCTCACAGTGCAGAGAGGCTCACAGTGCAGAGGAGGTGCTCAGCACAGAGGGGCACCCAGCACAGACCTTCCGGGGAATCAACACAGCATGCGGAGAGGCTGTGGCTGGCTTCTGGGGTAGAAGTCTCTCTAAAACTTGGAAGTATTTCCCAGTAATTGGTGATTATGAGGAGATAATTCTACAAATATTTTGTGAGGTCCTACTGTGTGCCACATAAAATTTTTTAGCACCCAGTCACAGTTTCAGTTGGTGAACTTTTATTGTCAATGTGGGAAGAGAGTCATTTTCCCTATCCTTGTTTTTCTAAGATGCTTTAGATTTTCCTTGGATTTATTTCATCTTTCTGTTGTTAAACGGAAAAACAATCTTCATAGATATTTAAGCCGAGAATAGCATGCTATTTTTTTCCTAAAAAAATATAGAAACATGTCCTTAATCAAATGCAAATTGAATGAATTCTTGTCTTAACTGAAGCCCCAGACCCTGTGTTGATCTTCACAGAGTGGGACTAGTGTTTACTAGTCCTTCCAATATCAATCAGGTTAAACTTGCCCACCAGCTCATCACACCTAGTTTGTTAGCATGGGCTAGAAGCAAGTAATTATGGTCTAAATGCTTTGAGGCATTCTTGGCTAGTTTATACGATGGGATTTCTACTTCCCACACCTCACCAAAGTGACCAGAGAAAAGAAATCCAACATTAATTTTCCTAATAAATACTTATTTGTAGATATGTTCATGGAGCTTTCAAATACCTTTGGAAACATTTTGAAACACCATGATGTGAATAGTCAGAGCTTTGGTGGGCTTTAGTTAGGGAATAAACATTATGTGTGTTTTTGAACACATGTGCACACATTTGAAAATAGCATGCATATTTTCCAGTGTGTGGCCAATTTTTCATTCTGATTTGTAGCAGGGGGATGGGGGGACCAGTTGGATAGTACTGCTTCTTATACACGTATTTTCAGGTCTGTTTCACTAAGTTTTCAGACCTGTACTAGATCTACTTGCATGAAGAACACTTGAGAGATGTGATCAAATTTCCTTTTAGACAGAATCATCAACAACCAAGCTTTGTAAATTCAAATATAAACAGTCTCAGTTTTAAACAGAATTCTCACCTTTCATATGTTAAAAGGTGTTTACTTTCCTGGTGTCCTGCAAAACCTTAATCCAATCTGGTCCTCCTAATGGTTTTTGTTTGTTTGTTTGTTTTGTTTTGTTTTGTTTTTTCCCCTCAACAATTTTATCCTATAACTGAAATCATCAGCCATGGGCCTTAAAAAAGTCATCAATATTCTTCTGATTTTGTTTTATGTGGTTTTTGCAAGTATGTCTTAAAGGTGTTTAAGGAAGGACCACACTGAAGAAACTGCTATTGTAATAATGTTTTGTTTTTCTTTCCTTACCTAGGAACCTTGATTATAGCCGGAAGCTGAAAAACGTAAGTTTTTTAACATCTCTCTCCAAGTTTGTATACTTTTAGCTTTAATGGTCCAAGGTTGATGTTTAGCTAAATGCAGAGCATCTGATAGGTCTTAGTAAAAAGATTCTTTCTTAGGAAAACGTATATGCCTCTCCTATAGAATAGTTAATAACTGTGCTAAAACTAAAAATAGTAGATTTGGAGGTTTCACTCTAATCAGAATTCAATCTCAAAATAAACAAATAAAAGCTTGTATTCTGTGTACGGTTCATTTTCTTAAAAGAGTGATCAGTTTCAACATTAACATTAGCCATTTCCATTTGTGGCCCAGATGGGATCACAGTCAGCACACATTAGTTATGTTATGGTTCTAGTTAATGTCCTTACATTCAGGATTGTCTGTTCTCGGGGAATTTATTTGTACGAACTCAGTCAATAAAAGACCTTCTGGAAGTTTTTGAAGGATTCACGATGTAAGAGTTTCCCACAAGAGGTGGAAAACTGAACCGTATCATAGTACTCATGCACATAGCTATACTTTGGGCCATGGCCAGCTGGACCTATATGCCTATGTCTCATTATCCAGAGCATGTTCTGGCCCACCATGGGGAAGGTAGTACAATAAGTCCTTCCTGGCATAGATGAAGCAAAATAACAGAATGTGAGCATAAAGTCTAAAATTTTGTATGGGCTTCTGATCCCTCTAATTCAGCTAAGGAGCACATCTTTAGCCAACCTCTTTTTTTCCCCAACTCAAAGTAAAGAACATTTGTGTTTTTGTGGACAGCTCTTTGGAGAGACAGCACAAAACTAATGTAGGACAGTAACCTCAGACCATTGGATATTCACGGACATTCTTCAGCAGCCAAGTTTGTTTAATTGATAGCAACTGTGTCAGGGCTAAAATTTTCCCATCTCAGATTAATGGGGATGTGGCTATGCTCTGATGCGAGAGACTTTCAGGTCCCACTCTCTAGGCATTGCTGTCTTCTGACTTCACTCAGATGTACTGTGTTGATCCTGTGCTGTGGAACACTCAGTAACCTTTATTGCTCCTTTGGGATTTTTGCCATCCATTCCAGGAGGCTGTCAAGTGGAAATTAGGGGCTTCCAGAGCACCCATCTCAAATGGAGCTGACAGTCTCCTGCATTACTTGTCTGGGTAAAGACTCCACAGAGTTTGTGGGGAAATGCTGTCTGATGAGTATGTCGTTTTGGAGGATTTATTTCCCCTTCTTGCTCACTCAGAGATCACTTTCTCACAACCTCCTTTTTCCTAGAGCTGGAGACTTACTTGACTGAATTGTGTGTCTGGGTCAACTGAGACAGCATTGGGTTCCCATTACCTCGATCTCAAATTGATGGTTGCAGCGTGCACTGGTTTTCACAAGTCGCCATTGCTGAGTTGTTCCTTCCTGCCTTGCTGTTCCTGGAATGTTACTGATCCCCAAGTTGAAATATCTTTCTTCAGGACAGATCCTCCCACTCTTATGCATTGTTTTCCTCTATAGGTGTTAGTGACCATTTATTGGCTGGGGAAAGCTGCAAACAGCTGTGCATCCTACAGTGGAACCACACTGAATCTGAAGGAGTTCGAAGGACTGTTGGCTCAGATGCGAAAGGTAACTTGGCTTTTCCTCCTCATCCCCTGACAGTTGAACAAAATGGGAAAGCAACATGTTTTTTAAGATTATTACAATTCTGGGGCTAGAGTGCTCAGTCAGAAAGAGCATTTGTTTCTCTTCCAGAGGACCCAGGTCCAGTTCCCAGCAGCCTCATGGTAGCATGCAACCTTAGGTAACTCCAGGTCCAGGGGATATGATGCCCTCTTCTGATCCCTGTGGGCATGCATGCAGAGAAAACACTCATACACATAGAATGAATAAAGTCTTTACTAAAATGAAGATAATTACGGTTTTGCATGCTGGAACAGTGCTGACCCAAGGTATGCACTCAAGAAAAGGACTATTTGTCTTACCCAGAGCTTATTTGCCTCCTGAGGCTCATATCACTTGAAGTTTTATACTTTACACTCTTCAGTGAGTGGCAAATCTGAGATGGCTCCAACTGTAGTTTCAAAAGAGTGAGTTTGATATGTTGGTATATGTACACACCATGGAGCTCCTGGCTTGTACATTTGGGGGAAGTGATGCTTGAATTAAACAGTGTAGCATTATACAAAACAAACACTTGCCCTGCACTTTCAGATTAAAGGTCATTGTGCTTGCCTGTTAGGGCCTTGATGTGGGTGAGGTGATACCAGCCATGTCCTTGCCACAGCTCCTACCCTGGACAGGCTCTGAGAAGCTAGAAGTATTCCTTCTACTGTGTGTGTCTGGTGACCATCATATCTGGGTGATCTGGAAACTCAAAAGGTGTTTTTAAAGCTTGATGTATTTATTTGACAAAATATTGGATGGCATAGCATTAACAACTTGGTTTGTTTGCTTGTGGGAAAAACTGACAGAAGGTCAGAATTTGTTAATGAAACAATGGAATGCTTTGCATGTACCTGCCTTTTAAAGGCTCAGCAATATGGTTAATTCATACGAAATATTGGTTCATATTGTTGCACAGGAGAATCCCTGCCGAGAAGCCTCTAAGCAGGAAGGCTCACCTACTGTTATCATCCATGTATTTTGATCAGGGCCATCTCAGAGCACAAATAATTGAGGCCAGTCCTTCCTTGCTTTTCTACCATACAAAATAAATCCCCTATTGAGACTCGATGAAAATAGCAAAAGGGCCAGCAAGTTGGCTCAGTGGGCAAAGAGAGAGATGCAACAAAAAGTTTTCAGGATATTTAGAACTTAGTGACTTAATTCTGAAAAGCAAGAATTTGTTCCAACTTTCTAATAAATTGATCTTTTTTTTTTAAAGCAGTGGTTCTCAATCTGTGGGTCTTGACCCTTTCACAGGGGGTCACATATCAGGTGTCTTGTGTATCAGATATTTACATTATGATTCATAACAGTGCAAAATTACAGTTATGAAGTAGCAATGAAATAATTTTATGGTTGGGGGTCACCACAACGTGAGAGACTGTATTAAAGGGTCACAGCATTAGGAAGGCTGAGAACCACTACCTTAAAGCTAGTAGTCTTTGCATTTGCCCAAAGCCAGTCTGGCTCACCTAACAATAATGGACAAAGCAGGGATGGATGTGTATTCCATGTAGTGGACTGGCCTGCAATCATTAGGCCCTGGGGTTTGATCCCTGACACTGAAAAACAAAACAAAAAACAAGCTTTGTATTTACCATGGCATAAGATAAGCACAACACATTGTATCTTTCCTTGGCTGTCTATTGCCTCTTCATCTTTCATCCAACTATTTAGAGTGTCATTGTTGGTCGGGTGTTGGTAGTGTAAATGGTTGCTTCTATATTCATTTGTACTTGGGTAATAGGAGATGGGTCATCTGTTGAAAACCGTTTCAGTCTCACAGCTCTGCTGATAGACTAGGGAAGAAACTAGTCTGTTTTAGTTCCCTGCCTGCTGAAACGATGCCTTCAGCTGCCTTGAAGTAGCCTAACATTAGCAGCTGCTTCTGTTTTGAGGGAATGCAGACAATGGCACAGGCTAGGATGCAGGGGTTGGCACTGCTGGGCAAAGTGTGTCTCTTCACAACTGTGGCCACCTGTGGTACTCCTATGTCATAGCTGTGATTGAGAACAGATGACCTGAAAGATACTGATCTATTCAAATACTGGCAGTGTTTTATATATAACCTGTATTCTTCCATGTTCTCACTTATGACTGGGTTCAACTGCAAAGTATAAAAACTTAAAATAACAGCTGAAAGGAATATTTTATTTCTTCTCCTGTTAGTGGGATTTGGGTGTCAGCAAGCAGTCCAGAGCTAGTGTGGGAGGTTCTACACCAGGGCTATGCCAGAAAGTCCAGACCCTTCTGTCCCTTGTGCCATCATCTTCACCTTGTGCCATCATCCTCAGCCTATGGCTTCTTCCTGCTGGCTCAAACTAGCTGTTCGGGCTTTTCCTGTCGTGTCCACATTCAAGTCAGGAGGAAGGAGGAACACAAAAGGGGGCTATTCTTTGAGCACGTTTAGAAAATTACACACTATATCCTGCTGTGATTTGAATGCCTCCCCCCTATAAAACTCATGCTGGACTTTAACTGTGGTAGTGGTAACAGGACTTATACTCTCAAGGCTATTTGCCCGTAGGGAGTACAGTCTCACAAATGGATTGATGCTGTGGTTGCCAGAGTGGGTTTGTTATCCCAGCTGTGTTATCAAGGCAAACTGTCCATTACTCATGCATGCTCTAAGTCGAGAATGGCTTCGGCCATGTTATGGAAGCCTTTCTCCATGCCAGCACTTTAACATTGGACTTAGCAGACTTTGGAACTTTGATATGTAAATTCTTTTTAAATTATCTAGTCTGTGACATTCTGTTCTAGCAAAAGAAAATGGACAATAACAACTCCCAACTCACATCTCATTGACTTGGACTTGGTCACGCATTCATACCCATCTGCAAGTAAAGACTTGGAAAAGAAGGTTTTATTTCAGCTATAAAAATAAATATAAATATTTATTTTACTAGATGAGAAGTAGACAGATTTTGTGAGACAATTGAACACTCTGTACAGAGGCCAGCTAAAATAAATTTGAAATTAAATTTGTGTCTTCCTCAAAGGGGACTAATCAAACAATTTTAATACTCATTTTTCTAGTAGGAAAATGTGTGCAAAATGAGTAACTATAGAGTACTTGTTTTATACTTAATATATAGAGAGCCCTTAATAAGAATTCTGAAATGGAAGGGAGCTTGGAATTCTCAGTGTTGTGAGCAATGTAGGTTATTTCTCTGTGACCTTCACTCATCATTCCCCATGTCTTCTGGAATTTATTCTCTTTCCTGTAAGCAAGTCAATCCTCATAAAGGGATGTAACTAATAGCATCTCCAGGGAAGATGCTTCTAGTTCCTTGAAAGGTAAGGGAGTATTTCCTCTAAGCCCAGAGGTATAATTCCAAGGAATGGCTGTTCTGTCCTACACTAGTCATTGTGTCCCCGGGTGGCATGGAGTGGTATGACTGGCCCACCCCATTCGTGATCCAAGAGGTGAGGGCATAATAAAAGGAAGGGATAAAAAGGGGGAAATGTGACCGGCAAACAAATGCAAGATAGACAAGCATATAAAACAGCCATGATCATCATACTCATTCTCCAATTTTGTGTCTACCTATCGGTGGTCTTCCAGTTTGTATCGGTTTGTAGGAACACAAGGTTCCTACAAACAAGGTGTTTGTTGATTTATTTTTATGATGCTGTGTTCCCAGAGCTAGAATACTATCTAGAAGGCACTTGGGCAATATTAGTGGAATGAATCGCTTCCACAACCCGTGTGATGAGTGAGGAATGGGCAATCATGTTGGAGAAGTTAAACCTCAGACAAGTTGGAGCAGCACTCAGCCACCCCATAAATCACACAGCAAGCAGAAAAATGTTGACTTGTTCAGAGAAGGCATCTGGAGTGTCTTAGATACTGTCAGTCATCCACAGGCCCTTGCTGGCTCTCATTAGCACTCACTGAAGGACTAGGAAGAAGGGGGATTAGTGAAGCTCAGAGTTGGTGGAAGCTAGTAGCACCCATTCCCTTTATGAACCCTCTTTCACTGAAACAGTGAGCAGTTGGTACAGGGGGTTAATTCCAGTCCTCCATGCCTTCTCTTGAGAGCTCTGTGGAAGACAGGAGTGCTACGCTCCAAGATGAAAGGCACAGACAATACAATTAGACCCCATGACAGACTTAGACATACCTGTCTTCGTTAGTTTATATTTTCCACCCTCTCCCAAAGCCTCACTTTATAGCACCCTCCCCACAAAAAGCGGGTGGTGGCTTAATTGAAACCAGTAAAACTGGAAGTCCAGTGGATAGCCATACTTTTTGCTTTACCTATGGTGTTCCTGGGAAGCCAGCATGGCCAGGGATGGCCACAGTGACCTACTTTCCATTTTTCAGACTGTCCATGGCATTTGTTTTTCTACTAGAGACTCAATATTGGCTTACTAAATAGTAATAAACATGGTAAGCTTTCTATCTTTCTTTCCCATGAGCATCAGGGAGAAAGCTGCTGAAGCTCCAGAAACAAACACACTGACCCTCTTTCTTTCTTAATCTTCTGCAGTTGGAGGTGTGGGGAAGACCCAGGCTTCAAGGAAAGCCTTTCTGATATTATTTTCTTGAAAATTCAGTTTTGTCATGTTGCACCAAGCAGACCAAGTGAGCATGTCACTTCCAGCTGCAACCAGTGGCCCCACCCCCTACATGTCTGTTTTTGCAAGGCATCAAGACATAAGTGCAAAGTGTTGCCTTTGACACAGTGTATAAATATTGCATAATTTCTGTATTAAAATGCATATGCCTTATTGAAGAAATAGTACCTAAAACCATTGCTGATACTTTTTTAGAGTCATTATTTTGCATCATCCCCTGTTGCAAATACTTTTCACATATCACATGTTTAATAGTCCTGGAAGCCCTGTTTGGTAGGTATCATTGCTAAGTTCCATTTTATAGAAGAGGCCACATGAGTTGTCCATCACACCGATAGCAAAACTTAAACCCAACCATTATGGCTTCTGGAGCTAAGCTTTTAGCCACGACCCTAACTTGCATCTCTTTTGTGACATTTCTCCTTCAGTCATTTAGTTATAAACAGCATTAACTGGGAGACATAACTCAGATTGGCAGCATTCACCATGCAAGGATGCAGGCAACATCCTATCTTGAGCCATCTTGCCAACTCCCAGAGATCAATAGTTTTAGGTTTTATTTTTAAATACTTATCATTTACTGTATGGGTTAATTTAAAGTAACTCCCTGATTCCTATTTTTCTCTTCTATGAAATAAGGATATTATTAACTATCACATTGGCTGGTTATGGGGGTAAATAACATGATATGCAAAAAGCATGACCCAGATATATAGTAAGTATTCAATAAAAGTAAACTTCAGATTTGGCTGATGAGTAATTTATAATAATAACTGCATTCCCAAGGTAGCTAAATTTGAACCTCCGTCTAATTCAAGTCTATATTTTTCAGTGAGTCATGAGTTCTTTTTTCAACTTCTCAGGCCTGGATTTTGTTCTAAATTGTGGTTAACTTTTGACCTGCAAGTAATTAACCTTACTTTCCATAACTGGTATTTTTGCCTTACCCTAGAGCAGTGGCTCTCAACCGCTTAGGGGGTCAAACAAACCCTTTCACAGGAGTCACATATCAGATACCCTGCTTGTCAGGTATTCCCATTACAATTCATGGCAGTAGCAAAATTACAGTTATGAAGCAGAAACAAAGTAACTTTATAGTTGGGGGGTCACAACAACATGAGGGACTGTATTAAAGGGTCACAGCATTTGAGAACCACTGCCCTAGAGTGTCATATTGTTAGATTCACCAAGGCATTTGACAGCCTGTTCTTCAGGGCATTAATTGGCTGGGTCTTCAGGACTTTCATCCCAGCCCTGCCCCCTCTCCTCTTGCTCCTCCTTCCTCCTGATGGGAAACCCAAGTATGCCTTGTGAATTACAACCATCCCATTCCCCATGCCTGTCACCCTAGGGTGGGAAATGGGTCAGAAAGAAGCACACCCCCCCCCCCGCATAATTATTAGAAGCAGCCAGCAAATATGTTTCCTGCAAAGACATGGGCTCCCAGGGGCACCGCAGACAGAATAGACCAGCATCTCAAACAGCAAACATGGGGAATGCTGATTTATTTTTTCCTTTCCATTGGGAATGCAGAGGGGACCTCCGTGTGCATCCAGGGGAAATCTATGGGGCAACATTCCACTCTTTGTCCTTGAGTGCATTCTCCTCAGCCAGTGTGATCCACAGTCTCGATTTCTAGCGACAGTCTCGGGGATATTAAGCGGAGGTTTATCTTTGAGTGACGGGAGTTATTTTTGTTTTCGTCAGCCTGGACTATTGTAATGAATGCGAAGGCACTGCCGGGAACAAGGCTTTTATTATAATACGAGGGTGAGGATGGTTTTGACTGACCTTTCTTCTGCTGGAGTTTCAGTGTTTTAGTATGTGCCGCTTGTGCTGGAAAGAATTTATAATCACAGGCTGTCAAAGACAGCCATTGTTCTCCCTGCTCTGAACATGTGGGTCAGCCACAAGTGCCTGCAGCTCCCCCAACGCCAAGAGCTGGCGGAGAGAGAGCATGCCTGGATTCTTCTGAGGCATCAGGAAAAGCGTTTTGCATATTTTTCATTGCTTTTTTTTTTTTTTTAACTTTTGCCTCAGAAAGACAGCTCGCTTTCAGAGCAGGAATTTCCCTCCAAGGTAGCAGGAGTTGGAAGCACGCTGCTCCAGAATTTTACAGCCCTCATTCTGCCTGCATTTGCCAGATAACACAACCCTGGGCAGTGGCGCTGAACTAGGGACTGGTCCCACAGACATGCGGTTATGGATTCCGAAAGACAGGTCAAAGGTTTTGTCTTTATTGTCAATGATCATTGCATTCTTGTGAATCCAAACTTCGTGATTTTCTATATTTAATTACTTTCTAAAAATTAAGGGATGTGAGTTGCTTGGGATATTTTTTTAAGTTGTGCATAATATTCTGATTGGAAGAATGTGGCAGAAAAATGTTGAGGAATCACCTGTTGATGTTCTTTAGTCTGGTTAGCTCGCTGCGACGACTTTTCCACACCAGATTGTCTATGCAAGTAGCTTTTCGGACCACTGGAGGCCGGATAATATATGTATGCTGCAGTCATATCTGAAATTCTTCCGTTTTATTTTGGGACAGGAGACTGATGACATTGAGAGCCCTAAGCGCAGTATCCGAGACAGCGGCTACATTGACTGCTGGGATTCTGAGCGCAGCGATTCCCTCTCTCCTCCTCGCCACGGCCGGGATGACTCCTTTGACAGCCTGGATTCTTTTGGCTCCCGCTCCCGACAGACACCTTCACCAGATGTAGTTCTCAGGGGAAGCAGTGATGGTAGGTTGGATCTTCCTACACCGCACATCTTGGAGTTAATTATTAGCAGGAGTTTCAGGGCCATGGTTAGAGAATTGAGTACTGGGAGGGCAGTCCCCATGTACACCTGGCTGGAGCCTGGTAATTCTATAAAACTGGGAGGAGGGGGCAGAATAAATGTCTTTGACTGTTGTTTTTCATGACCTTCAGAATTTTGATTGGCTTTGCTAGCAGTTCGTTTGAACTGCCTCAGTGAGTGTATCTTCTGTTGGAAAATGAGTTACATCATTCTTGCCTAAATCAAGATGCTGTGCAGACCATTAGCTCATAAAGTGTACTCAAGTTTATATACTGTGTATACAAAGCAGGAAAATGTTTAGTGAGTAACACACTATGTAAGTGCAAATGGAGCAACTTCCCAGCAAACTAGAAGTGTGCTTTATATCCTTAAAGCTGGGGCAGGGGCTTGGGGCTCTGCCCCTCTTACTTAGCACCTGTTTTATCAATCATTTTGATGCTTAGCACATCTGACTGCTGGGCTAGCTCAGTGCAAATTGCCATGAATGTATAGTGCCTAGCCAGACTGCCTGTTGGCCCCAAGGCTGAATTTTATTTAAGTCTTTCCAATTTGATATTACTTGTATGGAATGAACATTAGTTTCTCTGAAAAAAAAAAAGTGTGGTCCTGTAGCTTGATATGATTTCCGTGGCTGTTACTAAGAGCTACTTGGTTTAGTTCTCTTGTACCTTTGGGCTTTTAAGGAGGGCAGCTGGCTTGACTCTGCATGTGTAAACTTGCAGAAAAACAGCAAGGCTGGAGGGAGATTTTTTGCTTCTATTTTGGCATATGTTGCTTGGTTGATAGTAATATTTTGGGATATTCCTCTACTGTCTGAGATCAAGATTACCTTTTGTGGCTACAATGTTGCTTTCTGATATAAAATTCCTACTGTAGTTTTTTGTTTGCTTTCTGATATACTAGAGATTGACCCTAGGCCTTGTAAGTTCTAGGTGAGGGCTGTACCCTAAGCCCCTCAGCTATGCAAGTCACTATGATCTTTGAATGTTTCACAGGTCCAGGGCATCAGTTAGACTAGACACTTAGCATGCAGTATCTTATTTAATCTTCAGCATAGATGTTGGTGTCTGGCCAAATCTTAGTTTATGCTTGCATGGAGCTGGGAGACACCCCTAATCCTTATTTTACAGATGTGTCTTCAGGAGTTTAAGTCTCTGTCTCATCATCTCTAAATGTCGGAAATCACTGTCAGTCTAGTAGTTTAGCTGTGTCAGCCTCAAGAAGTGTGGGCCCAAATGGGTACTTCTAATTTACCCAGGCTACTTTCTCTTTACCCAATAGAAGTTTTATTCTAAAGTCACTGAACGCACACTTTAGAGCAGACAGATTCGCCTCAGGGCCACATAGTGTGTGACTCCTAAAGAATTCCATGGTACATTGTGAGCTGCTTGAAAAATATTTCTGCAATTTTATTTGACATCTTAAGTACCACCCACAGCACTAGAAGTTAAAATACCAAGTCAGTGATCTAATTATGCTTTAGTATAACCCAAGCATGGGTTTACTTTTGCAAACACCATCTCGGCCAAACTATGTCACCCATGTTGTTTGTTTTAACTTCTAAAAATTATGACTTTTTTCCCACTTTTTTTGTGCGTGTGTGTGTGTGTGTGTGTGTGTGTGTGTGTGTGTGTGTGTGTGTGTAATTGGTACTGTGGATGCTTTAGTCTGTCACCAGCTTCGAGGGGTTCAGAGTTTAAACCGTATCTTGAAAGCATTTGAGATGGTGATTAGTAAGAGTACCCTAAAACATCCCAAAGCACAGCTTAGTTGTAGCAAGTAAGACTGATAAACTAGAGCTGTGTATAAATGCTTTCTCCATCAGATGAACAATGTAGACTACAGCCTTACCAATCCCCCTCTTTGTGCACCTTCCACAGGCTTTACCAGTCAATCTGACATCCCAAGGCTTATCTTCCTGTAAACTAATCAAGACCAAGGGAAGCTTTAAAAGAAAAAACACATTTCTTAATCTTCCTTTCTAGTATGTTCCTTTAAAGTGAAGCTAACCAGTAGGATTACTAGTTCTAATGAATAGTTCCATGTTAGGAAGACTTTTTTTTTTTTTTTGTATGTCTTAACATTTTTTAGTCCCAAGACTCACAATCAATTAGGGGCAATTTTACCAAAAAAATGTTTTGCCTTTATATTGGGTTCATATGGAAGGCTTCAGCTTTGTTATTATGGGTGGGTACCCATTGATCAATTCAAGAGAGACAAACCATGTTCAGAAGCACCATGATTCTGAGTTGGTTATGGTTTCTTGTTAGGAAAGCTGTAAGTCCCCAGGCTTGCTTCCGCTATCTTGTCTTGCCAGCCAGGTGCCAACTGCCACCTTCAGACTCCACTAGCATCACCTGTGAGGTCACATTGGGCAGGAAATGCAACCTTGCACTCATGTGCTTTGAAAATTAGTAATATTTCATAAATATGACTCATTGCATTAATTCACTATGCCTGTTTTTTTTTCAAAAAGGTTTTACAAAATAGAAATAAAGAGTAAGCAAAAATAAAGCGTTAGAAAAAATTACAAAGTATTTGTAATTTAGGGGTATTTAGCAGCAAGTATGTGGAAGGAAGAAGGGGAGGAGAAGGAGGGTAAGGGAAACAGAATAGCTCTACTTGCTGGCAGCTTCATGGAAAAGAAGGGTGAGACTTTGATAAAATAATAATGCAGCGTGTGCCTTGTTATGCTTTCCTAACTTTGAACATCTGGGGAGAAGCCAACCTAGTAAATTTCCATGTCCACAGGATGAAGTAAAATAAAAATCTGTTTCAGGTCTAGCCTTACAATTATGCAGGCATACCATGCCAGCTTTCCTGAGGTCCTCTGTGCCCACTTCATTGAATCCTGACAACAACCCAGGCGAGCACTAGTGTCATCTTTGTGTAGCCCATGGGAACCTAGGGTGCATGGGGTTTAAACTCCCAGTGTCATGGAGCTAGCATGTGGTGGAACTCAAATGCTATCTTGGCTGTACGTCTATGAAGCTACGCACATTACAGCTAAGCCCGGGGACATTGGCAATATTCTTAAAATGTCTGTTGAGACAGTCCAGAAGAGTAATTTGAGACTCTCATTATATTTTGATAGTATCTAGATATTATATAGAACTATGGCCCCTAGACAACAGGTTGAGGAATCCAAGACAACTGTAACCATCATTAAGCTGTCATAGTAGATGGGGAACTCATTTGCTTTATTCTACACAGTGGAGCGTTTCCCCTCGTCGGGACACTTTAAGAAGTTTTTCTCAGAGTGTTATGCTCACAGGACAGAACTTTGAGTGTCTGGAGAGCAGAATCCAATTTCCCTGAGCCCACACTAATCAGCCATGGGGGCTGAGGGGAGCTATGGCTCCTCTGAGCCTGTGTCTATCTTTATAAAGAGAGGCTACTATCAAGTGGAGAAATAAATCCATGTGCTTGGCAAGGCAAGATGGTGTTCATATTTGTTTATAGGCAACATTTTATTTTGGCACTGACAGATACACTTGTTAAGACTTGTGGTGGGAAAGGGGACTAAGCAATGAATCAAATACTAAATCAGGAAATGACCAAAATTTCAGAAAAGACACTGTAAGTGCCATGAATAATTCATAGTCTGAATAGTTCACATACAATGAACAGCTTATTCACAGCCAGTGCTTTTAACCTTTGTGGTCTCTTAAACATCATTATGTTATCTAATCTTTGGGGTAAACCCTTTCATTCCAACATCACAGAAAAGGACAGTTAAGTGTGTTAGAGACAAACTTAGGAAGCCACAGCTCATGTCTGATGGACCCAGAGCTGTTATGACAGAAACAGCAGGCAACCGAGTGGTTAATACCACTCAGTGCCAGCTACTGGGCCAGTAGTTGTAGATGGATTCAACCCTTGCAATCGCCCCATAAACAGATGGCATTATTACCCTCACTTTACAGTTTAGAAAATGCAGGCTTTAGTAGCCAGGTTAAGAAGACTACTAAATAGCAGAGCTGGAAATGGAGGAGATCTGACCTTACACACTGCCCACTCTGCCTTGCTCCAACTCTTGGCTCTTTTCTTAAGCATGAATGTCATTGTTATCAACAGAGTCAGAATGATGTCATGCTCTCATTCACTGATTAAGAGTTTTCAACCAGCATTAAAGTAGCAGTTACTCATATTATTTGTGTTTGACTTAATGATAACTTCATTTTAATAGACCTTGGAAATCTAACAACGTAAGATTTGGTAAAAAGAATATGTTACAGGTATTGGGGCTGTGATCCAGGAGCAAGACTGATGTTGGCAGAGCAGATTTCCTTTGCATTCAAAACAAAACACTCTTTCAGCCAAACTAATTCGTGTATCCATCTGAGTGTGAGATGCCCATTGGCTGAAATGGTGTGCCTTAGAAGCTGTGTGCTGAACAGCTCTGGTTTTCAAAACAAAGGTACAAAGAACTATGTAACAGGAGAGAATACATGATCATGTTTAGGGATGTAGGAAGAAGACTGTCCCCAGCTCAGGGAACTGGGAAAACTGTATAAAAGAAGATGTAACCTCTTGGAAGGTAAACTCTCAGTGAAGCCCAACCGGTCACTTTTCCAAGTCCTGCCATTCTTATCTGTCTTTGCTACTACATAATTTGCATCTTTTCTGTGTTCTGAGGCAGAGTTAAAGATACGTGAAGACAACTTCTAATGCATACTTGTCAGAATGTCTAGCACAGTAGACTCTGGCTAGAGATCAGTAAAACCCCCATTGGGGGAACTGGTGAGATTTTCTTTTGAGAGTGGCCAAAGCTCAAAGCCTGGCCACTTTCTTACTGTAATTCCCAGCACACTTATGCTTACCTCTGTCTTAAAAAAAGAAAAACAAACACAAAATAACAAAAAACCAACAACAACAAAAAACATGCTTGTAGTTTTTTTGTTCTTCCCTCATTGAAATGGAGGCCTTTTTCCAAAGGAGGTTAATTTAGACATTTTCCAAGGTATGAATTCTAGAACACACAAGAGTTACCCTTGATTGTATAGCAATGTCACCCGGTGTCTCTGTGAGCCCAACACACTTTCCCAGTATTCATCCTCTCTTTCCCAGGAAGAGGAAGCGACTCCGAATCTGACTTGCCGCACCGGAAGTTGCCAGATGTGAAGAAAGATGATATGTCTGCCCGACGGACTTCTCATGGCGAGCCGAAGTCTGCAGTGCCTTTTAACCAGTACCTCCCGAACAAAAGCAACCAGACAGCCTATGTCCCTGCGCCTCTGAGAAAGAAGAAGGCTGAGAGGGAGGAATACAGGAAAAGCTGGAGCACGGCCACCTCCCCTCTGGGCGGGGAAAGGCCCTTCAGGTAGGAATGAGGGTTCAGAACTTTGATAAACCATTTTGAAGGAAAGTAAGTGGCCAGTGCATCCCAGAGGGCTTGTCATAAAATACCGATTTCACGAAGGTATGTAGCACCAAGAAATACTTCGCTGAGGAGGGGATGCTTTGAGGCCAGTCCTATTGACAGAATGTGGAAAACACATGTGTCACGTGTGTCCTCCTGTGGAGGCTGCCCTGTTTCAAAAGCTAAGAATGGAACAGTGACTTTTCTCCATCACAGCTAAAGACATTAGCGTGATTACAGTGGGTGTACAAAGACTATGCAAAAAGACTCTTGATGCACTCTCATGAGAGCAAACAAAGATGAGAACAGCACCAACGGGGTTTGAAGACCAAGTGTAGACAAGGGTTAGAATAATTCTTTTAGAGATGGAAACTATGCCCTTAATCTCTGTATTAATGTACATGTTTACTCTGCAAGTATTTGTTAAGTTCTGAGTATTGATTATGTGCTGGGTGCTAATCGTTTAGGATTTGGGGACCCAATATAAAATAGAAAGAGTCCCTGTCTTCAGTAATCTTATAAGTACTTTAATATCTCACTTTATTATCCACTGAGGAAGTATTCTGTTAAAAATTTTTCTTATGGATCAAAACTAATGAATTTTACCTTTCCAGCACACACACACACACACACACACACACACACATAAATTTGCTTTCCATATCAAGTTTGCAAGAGTCCTTGATCAGTATGTAGGAGAAATGCATTATATTAATTAGCTACACTAAGTTGGCCTCACATTAGCAGGATCACATTCCAAGCTGTGACTGTTTATTTTTTAGTTAAAAGTGATAAGAGAATGTCTTGGAAGCAATGTCCAGTCTGTTCCCTGACCTGTCTATTAGCTTAGTAAGCCATGTTGTCCAACTCACTAGTTATCCTGAAACAATAGAGGAGGAAGGAAGTGAAGCAGGGTCCCCTGGTGAAGACAACCCCAGCAGCCCTCAAGGTGGGTTAGAACCTCCTCCCAGCATTGGTGAGGAGCAGTCTCCTGAGGATGTGGTTGCAGTGCCGGCTGCCATTCCTGAAGACAGAGATGCTGTGGAAAGCCAAAAGCGCAGAAGGCTGGAGCAAGCTGGGATCAAGGTCATGCCTGCAGCACAGCGCTTTGCCAGGTTAGCTCTGCCAGCTGAAGGCCGGCCTGGCTGGCCTTCTGCATGCCCGCAGATTTGGACCCAGTCTAGCAAGTTGGACTTCTCATCCTGTTTCCCCAGTTGCTACATGTCCATTGCATCACTCTTCCCTGTGCTGGACAAATAGATATTCGGCCTTGGGGCATGCCTCTGCTAAGTCCTTGGCTAGTTAAAGTGGAGATAAAATGTGAGCTTCTCTGTGCTTCATTAGACCCCATCCCTGTGGTCAGTGATTATGGGCTGCAGGATTTACCTAGCAATAACATTTTATTTTCCTATTGCTTGCGTCATGTTAACTTTCATACTACTCCTAAATGGCTCATTACTTCATGTGACCAACCCATCGTTAGAATATGTTCAGTGTCTTGAAATAGTGGACCATCTATTCATAGGAAATAACTGACTTATACACTCGTTCTCTGAAGGAGTAGTGAGGACTGGATTTGTCGATGTATTTTCTAAAGCATGGTGATTCAAAAGCTAAGAATGGAACAGTGACTTTTCTTCATCACAGCTAAAGGCATTAGCATGCACTGCTACTGGCTTCATAGGATCTGTGAGAGGAAGTGTTTTAATAATCAAAGCCATGGAATCCTACCGGTCTACAGTTTTATTGGGGGTTGAAAAGCTTGTTTTATTTTTTATGTAAGAACCACAGTGGTCTTCACAAATAATCTTGCAGCCAGTACTTATGTAACAAATTGATGCTCAGAGCAATTTGACAATTGAAATCCCTTTCATACTTGCTGTTCCTTTCCATTCTAAAAGGTCACTAATGCACTCATTATTTCAGAAGGAGAAACTAAGGATGGGTGACTATATTACTTTTCTTAGTGCTGTGAAAAAAAAAATGCCTGACCTTAGCCATTTGAGGGAAGAGCAATTAATTTTTGCCCATGGTTTCAGGGGACTCTACTCCATTGTGTCAGGGAAAGTGTGGAGGTGGGGGCACTGTGGTCATCTTCATGGGACCATGAAGCAGTTGGCTTTATTGTGGCAGGCAGTAGAGAATGGGATCGATATGGCCAGGTTACAACCCCCCACCCACAGGCTTGTTCCCAGTGTCTCACCTCTGCCAATCAGATCCCATGTCCTATCTCCCAAAACAGTGTCATCGTCTAGATATCAAAACAATGAACACATGAGCCAGTGGGGTATCCTGGTGACCATTCACATTCAAAACATACAAGGATGGTAAGTGACTTGTAGAGCTAGCCATAACTGACTTGGCAGCTGGATTCTGGTACTTTGACCAAAGCATTGCACCTGCCTCCCATGCCTGTTGTTTCTGTATGTGCTGCATCTGTGGTTATTTCCATGGTTTAGTTCTTGATTGAAGTAGCCAGTGTTGGCTTTTATAGATTTAATGTAGGGTAGCTTTGTGTTGATTTAAAAAAAAAACACACACACATAAAAGAAAATATTCCTTACCTGTTTTTGATATCCCACACTTTGCCTACACTAAACATGTGTTTTTAGAAATTCTGATGTAAAGTCTGCTTGTGTTAGAAATAATGAAGAATAATATCATAATGTGTCTTCTGAATATCCAAATATTCTTTGACTGTGTTGGAAATGTACTTTCCCTTGTCCTTCAAGCATCTCTATATCCCAGAGGCCAAGCTATGAACTGAATAGAGAAATGAATACCATCCCCTTACCATGCACCATTTTTCAAACTTGCCTGACTCCCCTCTTTAAACTTAGAACACGATTTGAGTATTACTAAGTTATACAGATAAGCACACAAACATACAAAATCAAATTTCTACATCTCCGATGCACATACCTTAACCTTATCGTTTCTGTGAAGTCCTTTAGCTAAAATTCATTGAGAAAATCATTGCCTTTGGAGCCTTTGAAAGAGCAGTAGAGGGTGATCAAGGAAATGCAAGGTGCTTATTGGGCACACACAGGAATAAGATGACAGAGCACAAAGTTGTACACAGGTTGGGAGTTCCATAGGTAACCTGTGCCACTTGGTGGGAAGCCTATTTTACAATAAAACATTGAGTTCTTTGATAACAGTTCTCATTCAGTATACAAACATAGAGTCATGGTTTAAAATGTGATTCTGGTGGGAGACACTATATTCAGGTGGTCATTTTTGCTTCCATGCATGATTGTTATTATATGATTTACTTCTTATCTGGGCCATCCAAGTTGACTAGGAGGCCCAAGTTTGCAGCTTGTTAATGTCATCACACCTCAGACTTTGCCACAAAGCATTTAAAATCATGTGGATGCAGCTATAAATATTCCTAGAGAATGTCCCCAATAGAAGCACAGTTTATCTGCTCCAGTCACCAAGAGCTTATTTGGTAGCAATTTTCAGCTGCTAGTTCACTCCTGAAGCCACATACACCCATGCCATCAGCTCAGCATGTCTACATTTTTGTCACTTAACTTTATATAAGGCACAAGAAAGCTGAAAGTCATTGTAAGTTTATCCTCGATTGGGGGTCCTGCTTTTAATGTGGCAAAAAGTTGATTAACTGGAATGAAATGCAAATTGTGGGGCAGGGGATTCTTGGTGTGTGGAAAGTGAGAATCTAACTCATTGAACTAAGCCAATATCTCTCAAAGCATTTGACCTCAAGTCTCTTGTTTTGACATCCAAATGGATTCTGGCCATCACATTTTTGGACCCAACAAGAAGCTAAAGATAATTCTTGAGGGCTGTTGCTCAATTAGGAAGGACTGTTTTGTTGGGCATGTGTTGTACAAGAAAGGGACATACACAGTGGAGGGTGGGGGACAACCTTTCTAGACAGACCACTTTTTTGTTTCCTTTCCAGGGACCCTCACATATGTCTGTGCATTACTTTTAAGCCAATATATACACACAGCAAAGGTGCATGTCATTCCATTTTCACATGAGGTTAGAAGCCAATAGGACCCGCTCTGCTTGTGAAAAATAAATCAGGACGTGTCTTAGCATCAAGGAACAGAAAGTAAGACTTCTTAATAGATGTGTGGCAGTTAATATTTATTAACAGTTTCCATCAGTTTAAAAAAAGTATATAAACTGCTTTTTCTTCTATTTTATTTTATGACCATGTTAACTTAATTACCTCTCCCCCTAAGAGAAGGCCTAGGAAGCCAGATTTCTGTTTTTAGGAGGGTAAAATAAAAACCCAAGATTCACTGCCCCCTAAATTAAAATACCATAGAGATTTGGGCTCTCTTATTTGGTGTTTCCCATTGGAGAAGTAAATTTTTTAACTGAATTATAGGTCTCACGTGACTGTAGTTCTCTTCTAATTATTTGCATGTGTTTCATCACTCAGTATTTTCTGTTGGTCTGTGAATCTTCTCAACCACATAGTAATTAATGACAGAGGGGACAACCCTCCAAGGGACAATAGACATTTTAGAAATCTTCAGAGGAACAGCAGATGTAGTCAGTGCCAGACACATACTCTTCCACGTCCCTCTGTACCAGATGCTGGCTCCCTGCTGATTTCTGCACAGATCCCCCAGTCTAGGGACCAGACAGACACAGGCATGACCTTTGAGACTCTGAATGTGTCTGCCGTGCCTGGAGACAGGGTAACAGGGAGGTTTCTGCTGTTGCCCATGACATTCCCAAGAGAACGAACAGGCCTTTCTGGAGAGCCCAGTTTCTTTCAATAGAACAGCCTCAGTGCCAAGCCAAGCTGGCTGCTCATTGCCAAGTAAACGGGGTGAAAGAGAATGCCAACTCTTCCTTAGTTTATTTATACTGTGTGTGTGTGTGTGTGTGTGTGTGTGTGTGTGTGTGTGTGTGTGTGTGTTACATGTGTGTGTTTGTGCTCTTGAGCATGCAGAGGCCAGAGGAGGACATCA